GGAATGATTATCAATTTCTCCTATTTAAATGAAGTGAGGTTTAGAGGTGTGTGGTGCAGGGTTCTGTCTTGCACCAAGAAGACTTCAGCATTTTCTTCAAATACTTACATGAAGAGCTGGAAGGAATCCCAATGTCATCCACTTGGGAAGAATGGCTAAGACCTCAGTAGGCAAGAATAAAATTGAAATTCTGCTGGTATTGGATTTTCTGAATTGTTATCTGGTTGCAATAATGGACTGGATGAGGGCCAAAAAAGAAAAGATTAATTCAGACAATAATGTGTTTCTGCTACTAAGTGGGCATGTGTCTGCCTCTGAAAGAGTGGGCCCATAGTTTGGTGCTCATCCTTGATCACAATTCAGGCCTCATCATGGGACTGAAATTGCCTTGGTTGCGCTGGTTGATGATCTCTTGCGGGCTAGGGACAAAGGTTGAAGCTGTTTCCTATTTCTGCTGTATATCTCAGCAGCATTTGAGACCATCGATCATGACATCCTTCTGGACCGTCTTGAGGAGCTGGGAGCCGGGGGCACTGTTTATACAGTGGTTCCGCTCCTTTCTCCTGAGCTTCATATAGATATTAAAAAGCATGGGGGAAAGGATGGAACCCTGAGGCACCCCACAAGTGAAAGCCCTAGGGTCTGAACACTCATCCCCCAACACCACTTTCTGGACACGGCCCAGGAGAAAGGAGTGGAACCACTGTATAACTGTGCCCCCAGCTCCCAGCCCCTCTAGACGGTCCAGAAGGATGTTATGGTTGACGGTGTCAAAGGCCTATAAGAGATCCAGCAGAACTAGGAAACAGTTCTCACCTTTTCCCCTAGCCCGCTGGAGATCATCGACCAGCACGACCAAGGCAGTTTCAGTCCCATGGTGAGGCCTGAATCCTGCTTGGAGTTGTTCAGCAACCACCCGCTTAATCACCTTGCCCAAGAATAGAAGATTTGAGACTGGGCAATAGTTGGCCATATTGGCCGGGTCTAAAGATGTTTTTTTAAGAAGCAGTTTAAGGACTGCCTCTTTGAGCTGATCTGGGAAGGCTCCCTCGCAGATCTGCTTTTATCAACCAGGATGGACAAGGATCAAGGAGACAGGTGGCTGGTTTCACTCATCTAAGCAGCCTGTCCACATCCTCGGAGGTAACAGATTGAAATTGTTCCCATATAACATGACCACATAACCAGACAGAGGGACTTCTCAGAAGTGGTGCCTGCCCTGTGGAACACTCTTCCATCAGATGTCAAGGAAATGAACAACTATCCGGCTTTTAGAAGACATCTGAAGGCAACCCTGTTTGAAGTTTTATTCTGTTTTTAATGTTCAGTTGAAAGCCGCCCAAAGTATGGGCGGGGCAGAAATATATTATTATTATTATTATTATTATTATTATTATTATTATTATTATTATTATTAATCCATTGTTGTTACTAAAGGCTCGGTAGCATAGGTACTGAAGAGTGCCATTCAACAGTTTTGGTTAGTGGTCCAGCTATAAAAACCCATGTGGCTATAGAGACCGTGGCTACAGTTGTAGACCAGGCACACTTATATACCTAAGGAAGGAGTATTTCATTACAATAAGACCAGGTGTCCAGTGCCAGTGCTATGATTCTACAATGTAGCTGTTTTCCTCACCTGAAAATAATCCCTTTAATTTTTATTTCAGCTCACTTATGGAACATTTTTGCCATCACAGGATGAGAGAATAATTTCCCCTTTCTTGTACCATATGGTCCCAAACGAAGCCCACCAGTACATGGGAGCTGTCCGGCTATTTCAGCATTTTGGATGGACATGGGTTGGGCTCTCAGCTGTGGACAATGACAAAGGGGACAGATTCCTACAGACAATGCTGCCTTTGCTTTCTGAGAATGACATCTGCTATGCTTTTATTATAAGATTACCACGATGGAGTTACGTAGAAGAGCTCATACAGTTACTTCTACAACACTGGAACAGTTATGCAATTATCATTCAAAAAAAAGCCAACACATTTTTTGTACATGGAGAAAACCCATCCTTTCGAGTTTTGAGAATATTGCTATTTCTAGCACATTTCACTGAGTTGCCTCCTCTGGAGAAAGTATGGATTATTACATCTCACTGGGATTTCACATCAATGTCTCTTCAAAAGAATTGGGAAATGCAAACTTTCCATGGCTCCTTATCCTTCAGTGTTCACTCAGATCAGCCATTAGGATTCCAAGAATTCATTCAAACATTAAATCCTTCCTGGTCGAAGAGAGATGGTTTTATCCAGGACTTCTGGGAACAGGCCTTCAGCTGTTCATTAAAAATGCTCATGGAGGATGAGGAGAGTGCCTGTACTGGAGAGGAAAAGCTGGAGAGCATTCCTGGAATATTATTTGAAATGAAAATGACAGGCCACAGCTACAGTATCTACAATGCTGTCTATGCTGTTGCACATGGTTTGCAAGCCATTTACAAATCCACCTCAAGGCGTAGAAGTTTGGATAAAAGGAACAGATTGTTATTACAGAATGTGCAACCATGGCAGGTAATGATAATTCAGTGTTTGATTGTTTTTTAAAAGGTAAGCTACCTTTTAATACAGAGGTAAAAGGAACTGTTTCAGAAAACAGTGTACTAAAGTTGTTTTCATGTTATTGTTCTTGTATATGTTAATCCAGCTCCAATTATAGAACGTTATTTGGAAGTGGGTATTTCTGGATTTGCAACTGTCTTTAGGTAGGAATGAAAATCCAATATTTACTTATTTATTTATTAGAAAGCAGGCAAACAAGCAGAGATTAACAGCTCCATATGTCTCCATTAAACAAAAATTCACTCAGATTCTTTTGTTGTATTTTATGAACCCGTATTGATCAATAGTGTTGCTCTCATAATGATGTAATCCATTTCAAAATTATTTGCAATAAGAAACTCACATCAAAGCAAATGACAGCTTGGTGGATAGGTCTCCACGTGTAGAGAGGAATTCAACCTAGTGCTAAATTGGAGTGTGCACAAGGTCATCTCCCTCCTACCCCCTCTTCTCTCTCTGCATTTTATGTAAACCTGTTTGACAGACTCCTCTAACCTGTGATGGCTTGTGAGCGCTCTCCGCAAGAAATGCCTCTGCTCACTCAGAGATACATATATACATCCTTTATTTTACATATGTACAAGCAGCACACATAATCATGCATCTGAATCCTCCGTATCAGATTCTTGGAGTGCCTTACGGCCGCCCTTCTCCAGTAGAAAAGGCGTGAAATTCTCATGTGATGTTTCTGTCCCCTCCTCTTTAACACTCTCCTTTCCTGTGCAGATGGAACAGGCATTGCTTCACTGTCCATGCCAGAGCTTCCTGTGCGGTGTTGAGGCTTTGTTCCAACATCTGTGAGTCGTTCCTCCTCACTTTCCCTTCTTTCCTCCACCGTCACTTCCTGCCCCCCTTCCTCTGCCTGTCTCTCCTCTTTCCCTTCATTCTCCATCAATACCATGACACAACCCTCCAGAGAAAATTTAGGCGGTGCAGCTGAGTGAAGATGGTCCCATTGCAAAAGCAGATCTCTCTCAATTACTTTCCTACGGTAAAAAATAGTAGCTGTAAGATAGCTCTTTGTGAATGTCATTGAAATAATATAAAACATAGTTATCCTATTTTTCATATTCATTTTGAATCTAGGTTCATCATTTACTAAGAAACATCATATTCAATAACAGTGTTGGAGACACGATCCACTTTAATGAAAATAGAGAATTAGTTGCAGGCTTTGATATTACAAACTGGATGATGTTCCCCAATGGCTCAGTGGTCAGAGTAAAAGTTGGAAGGCTAGAATCTCAGGCTCCTTCAGGTGCTGAATTAACCATGAATTATGACCAGATTGTGTGGCATCAAAGCTTTAATCAGGTAAGACATAATATTATTATCATTAACCTTTTATTAAATTTGTATAGCTCCCCTCATCCATAGAACTCAGGACAGTTCGCAGAATAAAAATACTGTTACGAAAAAGGAGCAATGCAGCAGCGAGCTGCAGATGGCTGGAAAGCCAAACAGGATGTTGATGTTTGGGACTGTACCGTGGGAACAAAGGGACAGTCTATTCACTGTACTGAGCACTGGATGTTAGCTCAGAGTGTCATCTGACCTGTACTGGAAGTACAGGGGAGGAGTCTCTCTCTCTGCTGTTGGAGTTAAGAGAGTGCAGACATGTTTCTCTGTACTGCTGCAAAAGACAGAAATAAAGACATGTAAATACATTTCTGTCTGTCTCTTTCCCTCCCTGGGGATGGCAGGGAAGAGGGGAAGAGTGGTGTGTTCTTCTCACGTTTGAGGAGGATCGTCGATAGATAGAGGCCTCGCCTGTATCTTGCCGGGAGTCGCAGACGGGGAGGTCAACAAGGAACTCAAGCCGGGTGCCTGGAGAGTGGCCAATTCCTCTGACAAGGCTTGATTCCGACATCTGGTACCAATGCCGGTGGTTTTTAGATCCATGGAAATCTGCATGAGAGGTTGATGGATCGTTCTTCATCCTCTGCACCAAGGGAAAGAAGATAACGTCTGCGTGCAGCTGGAGGCTGAACAGACGGCTGGACACCGAGAGGAAGTGTTTTCCAAGCAACGGAGCCCCAAGGTGTGCTGAATTTCAGGCTAAAAGTGTGAGCGCAGATTGATTCATTCTCTGGTTCACGGGAGCTGCGTTTGGGAAAAAACAGCTCCGAGAGAGAAGGCCTGCATACCAGGAATTCTTGTGGTTGATAAGATTTCCTGTTCAAAGATTGGAATGCACAGTTGCTAAGCAACAACCGTCAGTAAAGTGGAAAGTTACTGACAAAGGGGCTGGACTGTGAGGGCCTGAGAGAGGCGGAAGAAAACAATGGATTGTTTTGACTACAGTCTCACGAGCTCTTGGAGGGGACTTTCCATAGCAGCCAGCGTTTAGCTGCCAGGTGCCAAGAGCGTAAACAGCCAGCTATTGGATTTTAGCAGGCTTGGAAGTGAGAGCTGAGGCTTGGATTCAAAATGGATGCCAAGAAGGGGGGAGGCTTGCCTTACTCATCTCCCCTGACTAGAGACAGTTATTCATCATGGTCTGGATGGATGACTACCCCAGAAGGGGTGAGCCAAGATGATGCTGGTCAGGTTCCTAAGAGCTCATCGAAAGCTGAGGAGAGCTTTGACCCCAGATGGGGGAGTGAAGGAACTGTTGCTGTTCCTGTTCAAGCTGCACTGGAAGTGAAAGACAGGGGGAGGGAGGAACGGAGTTCTAATTCCCCCAATGATGTTGCTACTGGAGAGCATGCTGTAGCTTTGAACGTTGTCCGATGTTACAATTGTGGACAGACTGGGCATCTTCAGCGGAACTGTAAGAAGCCACGTCGGCAAAATAGAGCAAAGGGTAGCTCTACAACGCCTGAGGCATCAGGCAAGAGCCGTACCAAGCCTCAGGGGAAACCTGCAAAGGCTTTAATGTCGCTAAAAGCCACACCAGAAGTGGGGAACTCATTTGTTCTGGACACTGGAGCGACCGTGCACATGGCGTCACACAGAGGACTGTTTTCGACGTTTAAGAAGCAAAGCTTCACCGTGCAGCAGGCCAACGGCCAGGAGCTGGAAGCGACCGGGATTGGGACTGTGTATCTTGAGAGTCTGAACTTGACTATAAACAATGTGTACTTGGTTCCTGAGTTGAAGATCAATCTGCTGAGTGTTTCGCAGATTGCAAAGAAAGGACTGAAACTGTCCTATGATGATGAAAGCTGTGAGATCTTCAAAGATGGAGAGTTGTATCTTTCTGCCAGAGAGAAAGATGGACTGTATTTGTTGACTTTTGATCAAAGTGATTACATGGAATGTAATTCATCTGAGTCGAACATGATCTCTCTTGCAGGTGTGACCAAGACGGACGCCAGGAAGGTGACCAGGGTCGACAGAGCATTTCAGCGGGTGTATGCTGATGTGATTGGTCCTCTAGCACCATCTAGAGGCAATGCAAGATATTATCTTGTGTGTGTGGATCATTTCTCTCATTATGTCTGGGTTTTTATGATGGAGAAACCACAAGAAACCTTAGAAAGGTTTCAGGAGTTTTGTGACAAGGTTAAAAATATGCATGATGCTAACATTGATTGTCTTTTCACAGATGAAAAGCCAGTTTTTCTTTTACAGGATTTTCAGGAGTTCCTGCAGAAGAAAGGGATAAGGCACAAGGTTGCTGTTTCAGCGGAAGCGTGGAACAGGGGTGTCTGTGTATGGGTGAACAAAGAATTGCAAAAGGGGATGAATGCGCAATTGCTTAGTTCACATCTGCCACATGTGTTCTGGGCGGAGTCGATGATGTCTTATTGTTACACGTGGTTGAGAAAGGTTTCAAAAGAGTTGGGAAGTTCTCCTTTTGAGAAGCTGTTCCACAGAAAACCTTCTGTAGCCCATTTCAAGGTTTTTGGGTCTCATGTGAGGACAGAAGCTCCAGGTGGAGTAAAGAATGCCAGAGGCATTTTTGTGGGTTATGAAAAGGGTCTCTACAAAGTAATTTTGTCTGAATCTGGTCAGGTGATTCTCACAAAATTTCTAGAGAGTGCTCCTGAACAGGAGAGAGTAATTGTTCACACATTTCCCACAGAGGACAATTCAGATGATGATGATGATTTTACTGATTACAGTGGTACTGATGATGACAGTAGTAGCTCAAAGAGCTCAGTTGACACATTCATTGAGAGGAAATCTCACACAATGGATAGACCTTCACAGATGAAGGATGAACCACTGTTTACCATTGGTACTGGTTCTCCTAAGAGTCCAGAGGCTGAACCAGTGAGCAGAGAGGATCAGCACCTCGTACGCAGGTCTGAGAGGGTTACAAAGGGTGTACCACCCAAGAGGTACTCAAAAGAATTTGCTAACTTAGCTGTTGCATGTGTTGCTGTTGTACACAACCGAGGACAGGTTGGAGCGGTGTCTAAGTCAGAGACAAAGACACAACGGAGAGTTGCTAGCCAAGCTAATGCAGATGCACTCATTCCTTGGAAGCCAGACAACCAGAGAGGTACACTGGGGAAACCAGTGGCAGGGAGTTCCAAGGGTGGAACTGAAACAACAGGGGAGTGTTATATGTATAACAACTGCTTGTTTTCTTCTCTGGATCACGCTTTGCTTGCAACACGCATTGATTCTTTTGGGGGAGTATGTTACGAAAAAGTAGCAATGCAGCAGCGAGCTGCAAATGGCTGGAAAGCCAAACAGGATGTTAATGTTTGGGACTGTACCGTGGGAACAAAGGGACAGTCTATCACTGTACTGAGCACCGGATGTTAGCTCAGAGTGTCATCTGACCTGTACTGGAAGTACAGGGGAGGAGTCTCTCTCTCTGCTGTTGGTGTTAAGAGAGTGCAGACATGTTTCTCTGTACTGCTGCAAAAGACAGAAATAAAGGCATGTAAATACATTTCTGTCTGTCTCTTTCCCCTCCCTGGGGATGGCAGGGAAGAGGGGAAGAGTGGTGTGTTCTTCTCACGTTTGAGGAGGATCGTCGATAGATAGAGGCCTCGCCTGTATCTTGCCGGGAGTCGCAGACGGGGAGGTCAACAAGGAACTCAAGCCGGGTGCCTGGAGAGTGGCCAATTCCTCTGACAAGGCTTGATTCCAACAAATACAAGATAAATACACAAAATGCATAATAAAACAAAAAACTAACAATAACATCCCTTTCTATTATTATATAATAATAATAATGTAATTATTTTGAACTGTGTAAAAGTAATCTGTAGCTATGTCCAGTTGCTGGTGAGACAAAATCTACATATAGTGAACTTGTAACCATATGTATCTCTTCCCTTAAGAAAGGGGTATTCTGCTTACACCTTGATATGTCCTTGCATTCTCTCCAAGATCATCTGCAAGTTTCTCTTGTGGGGAATGTTTGGATATTTAAGAAGGAAAATGTCAATTAAGCCAATTCAGCATTCTGTCATCTCTTAAGGTACTGAATTGTGTTTGACAGCATTCTTTTTTTCTTCTTTTTCTTTTTTGCTGCTGCTGCTGCTATTTTAAATTCCTTCTTTATGAGGATTAATCTATATTTTCAAAGTAGTTCATGTGGGGTTTTTTGAGTTCATGCTTGCATATCTTTAAATAAAGGAATAAACCAGGAAACTGTTCAAAAATTATCATGACTTCAAAAAAAGTCACAGAATCACTTGTTACATCATTAACCAGGTCTTATCTTCAAAGGGACTTAAAACCCTTCCTGGTTATTTTTACATCCTGGGAATGAGGGCGGATATAACTTAAATGGTCACTTCCAGAGTTGTACCATTACTGTCAGTCATAAAACTCTAAATGCAGTGTTTCCCAACCTTGTGCCTCCAGCTGTTTTTGAACTACAACTCCCATCATCCCTGACTAGCAAGACCAGTGGCAAGGGATGATGGGAATTGTAGGCCAAAAACAGCTGGAGGCACAAGGTTGGGAAACACTGCTCTAATGTATACTCAAATGTAATTACCGGTATGTTTAGTTGTGAATATAGCAGCTGTGAACAGATTCGTTCATATGCTCTTGATTTTGTTTTAAAATTATATATTTAGAGGAGAAAACAAGCTCAAATGGAGAAACACACATCTTCCCATCTTCTAATCCCCCCCTTGAATATAAAGCCTACCCTCACTATTCAGCAAAGCGGTGTGATGTCAAAAGACAGCTCAGACAGCCTCCATCAGATTCTGTGATTTGACATTCCCTCACTGTTGAGGCAGGCCTTCAAAAGTCTCTGAAATTCCATTCCAAACTGAAATTGAGAAAATTGATGGCATGTCAAATGACTTTGTTCAGTGCCAGCAAGTCTGCTCACGTTATTTGGTGTGTGGAGTTGCAGCCAGGCCCCAGGCCCAGCAAGTGATCCAACCAGGTACGGAGACTTACACCCTCCTCACTGCTGCATCGCCTCATCAGTGGAGCTGAGTGGGACCCGTCTCAGAGGCTGGGCCCCACTAACTAATCAGTGCCAAAGGAAGGCATGACTGTAGGAAATTTAAACCATGGCACCATGGAGAGACAGTCCTCTCATGCCCTTCGCCAGATTGGGTCAGATCAACAGACTCTTTGCAAATCTGCCACTTTTCTTTAAAAGAACACTTGTATTGCTGATCATCTTTCATGTTTCTATACAGGTTCTGCCTCGTTCTGTGTGCACTGACAGCTGCTATCCGGGCTCTAGCAGGAAAAAGAAGGAAGGAGAGAAATTTTGCTGCTATGACTGTGCTCTGTGTCCAGATGGGATGATCTCCGACAGGAAGGGTATTGAGAGACCAATTGATATTAATAAGCTTAGGTATTTATTATTGATATATTCACAGTGAAAATGAGATTCTTCACTTGCTCCAGTGGGTGAGAGGGTAGTGCCCAAAGAGAGAGATGATTTGAATCAACAGGAGACCAGCGAATGCATTTCGGCTCAAGAAATATATCAGCATAATAATAAAAAAGAACAATCAACAATATATTAAACATGGATTAATACAGTGGAAGGCAGAAATAATAAGCCATCTAGGCAAAGGGAATCTCCCCCCAAAACATACATTCAGGCCTACTTCAATCATGAAAAAGAATATACTGATCAAAGTTTTCTTCCATTCTACACTGCCTGGTGTGATTAACTTTTTCATCCTTTATCATTCACCACCCAAGTTGACCCCATTAATACAGAGAGCATAGATTCATTGAATATCTATGAAGATAGTTTGTATTAAAGATTCTTAAAAATATTTTTAAAAAGAAAACACAGAGAGGCATTTAGACAGTGAATGGGAAAGTGTGATCGAGGGAAAAGCGATGATACTATTGTGTTGTCAGGTAAAAAGTGCAAGAAGATGATAGGATGAATTGTTACTAACTTCTATAGTTAACTAGACATCTGGAAATATAACTATTGCTGCATTTTTGTGTGTTAAATGCTTAAAATATTAAAACACCTCTTCCATTTTTCAGATATGGATGCCTGTGTCAAATGTCCAGAAGACCAGTATCCCAACAAGGATCAAACTAAATGCATTGCAAAATTGGTAACATATCTCTCTTATAAGGAAGAATTGGGGATCATCTTAGCTACCTTGGCTATTTCTTTCTCTTTGACTACATGTTCAGTACTTGGAATTTTTATGAAGCACAAGGACACTCCCATAGTGAAAGCCAACAACCGGACCCTCACCTACATCCTCCTCATCTCCCTCCTCCTTTGCTTCCTCTGTTCTTTGCTCTTCATTGGACAACCTGGAAAAGCAACCTGCCTTCTACGTCAAACCACTTTTAGCATTGTCTTCTCTGTGGCCCTTTCTTCTGTGTTGGCAAAGACCATCACCGTGGTTGTGGCATTTATGGGAACAAAACCAGGATCCAGGATGAGGAAATGGGTGGGGAAAAGACTGGCTAATTCTATTGTTCTCTCCTGCTCTTTTATTCAGGCTGCCATTTGTACTCTTTGGTTAAGTTCTGCTCCTCCATTCCCAGGTAGAGACGTACATTCAGTGAAAGGTGAAATCATACTGGAATGTAAGGAGGGTTCTGTTTCCATGTTTTACTGTGTCTTGAGCTATATGGGTTCCCTGGCCATAATTAGCTTCATTGTGGCTTTTCTTGCCAGGAAGTTACCTGACAGCTTCAATGAGGCCAAGTTCATCACATTCAGCATGTTGGTGTTTTGCAGTGTGTGGTTATCCTTTATTCCAACCTACCTGAGTACCAAAGGAAAACACACAGTGGCTGTGGAGATCTTCTCCATCTTGTCATCCAGTGCAGGATTACTGGGTTGCATCTTTTCCCCAAAATGCTACATCATTGTGCTGAGGCCTGAGCTGAACAACAGGGAACAACTCACAAGGAAAATAAAATGATCTTAAAATGTGCATCTCTCTTTTTTATATATTTATATTGAGCGGGGGGAGAGAAAGTTTTTTCATGGTTCCTATGAGATTACAAGCAAGGGTGCAAACATCTCTGCAAAACTCATTGAGGTTTCCTGTGCTGTGCCTGGCCTAGAGTTAATGGATCATTTCCAGATGATGCAGCCTAATGTGGAAAGGATACGTGCAGTGATGCATCTGAACACATGCCTTCTGGACCTTTGACCTTCCTTGACTAAACAAGCTGAATTGGGGTAGCTGGGAATATCCAGGGTGTTGGGAACATATCACTGAATGACAGGGTGGTGCAACCTGCAACTGAAGAAGTGGTGATGCAACCCATCCTTAAAAAGCTGACTCTGGACCAAATGGTGTTTGGCACTGCTTGCCACTTCCCATTATTCCTTTTGGGGGGCGGTGATAGTGAGGGTGCTGAGAGAAGAACTTAATGTGTTTCTGAATTACATTGATTATTTGAATAACCTTAAATCTGGAATTAAAAATATCTTGTCGAGTAGGTACCTGCATTGCCAAATAAGTGGCTGTTTTCCTGTGTGGCGGACTTCATTGAGTAATACTGGGAAAGTGTTATCCAACCCCCTGGTACTTATGTGATGGCGTTCTGTGGGAAACCATTCCCCCCCCCCCTGTGTCATTTCACATTTATCTGGAGCCATTGGGAGCAATCTTAAATTTTTTTGGAGTATTGTGCTTTCTATTTTTGAAGGATATGTTGTTTTCCGATTCACACCACTTAAACACTCCCTCTGAAGTAGTAAGTAGGTAACTTCTATTGTATGCTCTGAAAGAGCAACAAAAATGGAGAGATGAGAACAAAATAGAGTATATATACCCCTCCTCTCAATCAATGTGTGTGGGAACCATTTCAATACCTACAGAGAATAGCACCCTGCATCTCTCCTCTGTTCAGAACAGATGGGATGGTGGGTATCCAGTTCTGTCATCCTATGAAATCTGAATATTTGAATTCTGGATAATTTTAGGAGCTATTTATTACAACTTTTCATGAGCTCACAGGTATCACTTTGGCAAACCCTGATTTAAGGTAAGGCTTTAAATTATGCAAAATGTGAGTCAGGCGGGAAGAATAGAGCAAGCTGCTCAGACCCCATAACAATTGACTTCTCTGCTCACCAGCTGGTGAAAAGAAGAGTTGATCCTATGGATGTTCTTTGCAAATGACATCCGTTCAGATAGTATGCTTACAGATAGCTCAGAACCCTCCTGTCCTCAGTGTGGTTTGATCTGGGAGGAGAAAATGTCACTTTGCCTTGCCACTCCTCTGTGTGTTTATGTGGGCTTTAAAAATTCTAATTAACTATTAGCTCCACTCCCAAATTTGATTCAGGGTTGTATTTGAGTTGTGTGTTCCTCAGGTTGTTCCAGGTCATGTCAGTACTGATCCACAGCCCCAGATTGGGTAGAGGGACTATACACAATACTTACAATATTCCTAATAGTTTTTGTCAAGCATGATTCAACTTCAAACGATATCATCCCTTTGGGGAAAGTCTAATTACAGCTATCTTTCTCAAAATCACTGGTCTCAATCCTTTAAACACAATAGACATACAGACCTAATTAGCAAGCTCCACAACCAAAATCTTAAAAAAAAAGACATAAAACCTTGTGTTTTTGAGAACTGGATCCAGGCATAGGCAGGAGTGTGTCATTTTCTGTATGGTCTGTTACCCTTTATATGTTCAGGTATGTTTTCCACCAGCTGATTCTGAAGCATGGTAACTTATGTTTGGAAGCAATATTTTCTCAACAGGACCATGCTAGTGGTTATGTTGCTGCTTGCACTGTTGTGTCAAACTGCATCCAAGACACATTCCATTAACTGTAGCATATATGATGATCCCCTCCCTATTCCTCATAACTTTTTTAAGCCAGGTGATATAATCATTGGGGAGATTGTTTCCCAGGTGTTCTTACACTACAATAACCTCTCTTTCACGGAACAGCCTATGCAGACATTGATTGATGAACCTATGTAAGTCATAATTTCTTTACTCTCTGTAATTCTATGTTCAGGCCACATTAACTGAAAACATATCAATAATGCAACGCTGTGCTGCCATAATTTGTTAACTTTATTCCATGAGAAAAGTGGAACCTGCAAACTTCCAACTGTAAATCGTGGGGGGTAGAAAGTAATTTGAGAATTTGACCTATAGCCACCATATAAATAATCAATTATAAACACTTGGGAAGAAATTTTGCAAATTATTCAGGGGCAGGGGCAATCACCCCCTTTGTCTACAAATTTAGCAGGATGTTTTGCAGGACCTAGATTTGGTTTGAAACAATGTGGAGGGAGCCTGATTGATCTTGAATATCTCTTGAATCTCTATTAATGATCTGTCCTCATATCCAGGCTTCATTCAAAGGCAGCAAGTACCCCTAATACACATTCATTAAATTAGATTCCCTGAACTCATTAAGCCCCAGTTAGTCTGGTCCATTAAATTCAAATGAACAACTATGATTGATTTTGTATGGAATTAGCATAAAGATAAGCACACACACAGAGAGAGACACACTTTGGATTGTTGCTGTTGCCAGTGAGGGCATGTAATGGAATGTGGAGAATAGGTCTGTGGAACAATTTGTCAACCTCCAGAATGATCCCAACACATTTAAATAACATGACTATTCAGCCGGAAAATGTCTACTTCAGATGTCATTTTTTTAAAAAAAAAATCTATTGTTTTCTATGGTCCCTTACAAGGTTTCAGATTATGATGAAGAGTACAGATTTTTGTTGTCATTGCTGTAGTCATTTTAATAAGCAGCTATAATCCTTATTACAGTTCAGTGCCTAAGAACTACCAGCATATTCTGGCTTTAGCATTTGCGGTCAAAGAGATCAATGAGAATCCCACAATCTCGTCAAATATCTCTCTTGGCTTCCATATCCTGAATAGTTACTTCAACGCAAGGATGACCTATAAGGCCACTCTGAGCCTCATTTCCACAGAACAAAGATTTGTCCCCAACTTCAGCTGTCACAACCAGAACAATATGATAGCACTCATTGGAGAATGTTTCTCTGAGATCTCTGCTAACATTGCAGTGATTTTGGCAAGCAAGAAGATTCCACAGGTATGTTTGGTGCATAAAGGTATGGAGACTTCACAACGGTGATATACCCGCCTGATTTCAGGAACACATTACACAAAGTTCCTTTTTATTATTTGATGAGAATATTGGTTAAATGCTTGATGGTGATAGAAGGTGATACAGGATACTAAAGGAGTGATTTAAATGAAGTGAGGTTTTGAGGTGTGTGGTGCAGGGTTCTGTCTTTCACCAAGACGACTTCAGCATTTTTTTTCAAATACTTACATGAAGAGCTGGAAAGAATCCAGTGTCATCCACTTGGGAAGAATCGCTGATACGTCCATAGGCAAGAATAAAATGAAACTTTTCCTGTGGGGTCCTCGGTGTGCTGAATTGTGGTCTGGTTGCAGTAATAGACTGGATAAGGGGCAAAAAGAAAAGTTTAATTCAGACAAGAATGTGTTTTTGCTACAGGTGTGTATGCTTTATGGCTGATTGGAAAGCAACACACACTAGAGAGAGACCACTCTCCCTCTGAAAGAGTGGGTCCATAGTTTGGTGGTCATCCTTCTTCTATTGTTGTTATTAAAGGCTCAGTGGCATAGATACTGAAGGGTGCCATTCAACATCTTTGGTTTGTGGTCCAGCTATAAAACACCCATATGGCTATGAGGTACCATATAATATGTTGTAAACCACTTTGAGGGTTTTTTAAAAAATAAAGCTGTATAGAAATGAAATTTATATCAACAACAACAACAACAATAATTAATTGGCTGCAGATGTATGCCAGGCACTCGAATATGCCTAAGGAAGGAGTGTTGCATTACAATAAGACCAGGTGATCAGTGCCTGTGCTATGATTCTACAATATAGTTGTTTTCCTTGTACTAAAATAATCCCTTTATTTTTTATTTCAGCTCACTTATGGAACTTTTTTGCCATCATGGGATGAGAGAATAATTTTCCCTTTTTTGTACCATATGGTCCCAAATGAAGCCCACCAGTACATTGGAGCTGTCCGGTTATTTCAGCATTTTGGATGGACATGGGTTGGGCTCTTGGCTGTGGACAATGACAAAGGGGACAGATTTCTACAGACAATGCTGCCTTTGCTTTCTGAGAATGGCATCTGTTCTGCATTCGTCATTAGACTACCACAATGGAGTTATGTGGATGAAATGATACAGTTGCTTCTGAAGCATGTGAAAAACTCTGTAACCACTATATTGCAGGGGAAAGCCAATGCAATATTTGTATATGGAGAAAACCCATCTTTTCAAGTTTTGAGAATGTTGCTATTTCTAGCACACTTCACTGAGTTGCCCCGCTCGAGAAAGTATGGATTATTACATCTCACTGGGATTTCACATCAATGTCTCTTCAAAAGAATTGGGAAATGCAAACTTTCCATGGCTCCTTATCCTTCACTGTTCACTCAGATCAGCCATTAGGATTCCAAGAATTCATTCAAACATTAAATCCTTCCTGGTCGAAGGGAGATGGTTTTATCCAGGACTTCTGGGAACAGGCCTTCAGCTGTTCATTAAAAATGCTCATGGAGGATGAGGAGAGTGCCTGTACTGGAGAGGAAAAGCTGGAGAGCATTCCTGGAATATTATTTGAAATGAAAATGACAGGTCACAGCTACAGTATCTACAATGCTGTCTATGCTGTTGCACATGCTTTGCAAGCCATTTACAAATCCACCTCAAAGCATAGAAGTTTGGATAAAACGAACAGATTGCTATTACAGAACGTGAAACCGTGGCAGGTAATGATAATTCTATTTTAGATAAAGTAGGCTAGCTTTTAATACAGAGGTAAAAGGAACTGTTTCATGCAAGAGTCTACTAAAGTTTTTTTCAGGTGATTATTGTTTTTCTCTGTGTTAATCCAGCTCCAAATACAGAACATTATTGGGAATGGGTAATTTCTCATTTTGCAACTGTCCTTAGGTAGGAATGAAAATCCAATATTTACTTATTTATTTATTTATTTATTTATTAGAAAGCAGGCAAACAAGCAGAGATTAACAGCTCCATATGTCTCCATTAAACAAAAATTCACTCAGATTCTTTTGTTGTATTTTATGAATCCATATTGATCAATAGCGCTGGTCTCATTATGATGTAGTCCATTTCAAAATTAATCACAATCAAAAACTCACATCAAAGCAAATGAAAGGAAATGACAGCTTGGTGGATAGGTCCCGACATGTAGAGAGGACTTGGTGCTAAATTGGGGTGTGCACAATGTCTTCTTCCCCCTCTTCTCTCTCTGCTTTTTCTTAAATCTGTTCTGAGGACTCCTCCAGATTTAGGAGGTGCAGCTGAGAGTAGAGGGAGGAGAGTCCCATTGCAAAAGCAGATCTCTCAATTGCTTTCCTACGGTAAAAAATAATAGTAATAAGATAGCGCTTTGTGAATCTCACTGAAATCATTTAAAACATAGTTACCCCATTCTTCATACTCATTTTGAATCTAGGTTCATCATTTACTAAGAAACATCATATTCAATAACAGTGTTGGAGACACAATCCACTTTAATGAAAATAGAGAATTAGTTGCAGGCTTTGATATTACAAACTGGATGATGTTCCCAAATGGCTCAGTGATGAGATTAAAAGTTGGAAGGCTAGAACCTCAGGCTCCTCTGGGAAATGTATTGACCATGAACTATGACCAGATTGTGTGGCACCAAAGCTTTAATCAGGTAAGACATAATATTATTATCATTTATCTTTATTAAATTTGTATAGCTCCCCTCATCCATAGAACTCAGAACTCGCAGAATAAAAATACCAAAACACAAAATACATTTTAAAAAACCCAAAATGAAACTAAATAATAACATCCCTCTATTTAATAATAATAATAATAATAATAATAATAATAATAATAATAATAATAATAATAATTCTAGAGTTATCTAGACCTGGGAACAAGTAATCTGTACCTCTGTCCAGGTGCTGCTGAGAAACAGTCTACATATAGTGAACTTATAAATTACCATATGTATCTCTTCCCTGAAGAAAGTGGTATTCTGTTTACACCTTGATATTTCCTCTCATTCTCTCCAAGATCATTTGCAAGTTTCTCTTGTGGGGAATGTTTGAATATATAACAAATAAAATGTCATTTAAGCCAATTCAGCATTCTGTCATCTCTTAAATTACTGAATTGTGTTTGGAAGCATTCTTTCTTGTTGCTGCTGCTATTTTAAATTCCTATACTTCCTCCATTTCTTTCTTTGATGTAATTGAAGAGTCAGGAAATCAAAGTTTTCTACTTCATGAGGATTAACCATATTTTCGAAGTAGTTCATGATTTTTTTCCCTGTTTTCACTATTATATATCTTTAAATAAATAAATGAACCAGGAAAGTGTTCAAAGATTATCCTGCATGCTGTTAATAATAAAACTCAAATGTATACTCTAATGTAATTATGTTTAGTTGTGGATATGGCAGCTGTGCGCGTATCCACTAATCTGTTTTTTATTTTGGTTGAGAAAACCAGCACAATTGGAGAAGCACACATCTTCCCAACTTCTTATCCCTCCCCCCCCCCCCCGACTATAAAACCAACCCTCACTATTCAGCAGAGTGGTGCGATGTGATAAGACAGATAAGGCACCTCCATCAGATTCTGTGATCTAACATTCCCTCACTGTTGAGGCAGGCCTTCAAAAGTCTCTGAAATTTCCTTCCGAACTGAAATTAAGAAAATTTGCTGGCATGTCTAATGACTTTCTTCAGTACCAGGAAGTCTGCTTACTTTATTTGGTGGGCAGTGGTACAGCCGGGCCCCATGCCCAGCAGATGATCTGGTCGGGGATGGAGACTGGCACCCTCCTCACCGCTTCTTGCCCACACCGGTGGAGCTGGGTGGGGCCCCACACAGAGGCCGGGCCACGCTAACTAATCAGTACCGACAGAGGGCATGACTGTGGGGAATTTAAACCATGGAGCAGTGGGGAGACAGTCCTCTCAAATCCTTCACTGCATCTGGTCAGATTACCCACTCTTTGCAGATCCACCACTCCAAAGAAAAGAACACTCTTATTGCTGATCATGTTTCTATACAGGTTCTGCCTCGTTCTGTGTGCACTGACAGCTGCTATCCTGGCTCCAGCAGGAAAAAGAAGGAAGGAGAGAAATTTTGCTGCTATGACTGTGCTCTGTGTCCAGATGGGATGATCTCCAACAAGAAGGGTATTGAGAGAACAATTGATATTAATAAGCTTAGATATTTATTATTGAGATATTCACAGTGAAAATGAGATTCTTCACTTGCTCCAGTGGGTGAGAGGGTAGTGCCCAAAGAGAGAGACTAACATCCTTTTAAATATACTTCTTTTAAATAGTCAGGAGACCAGAGAATGCATTTCGGCTCAAGAAATATATCAGCATAATAATAATAATAACAAAGAACAATCAACACTATATTAAACATGGATTAATATAGTGGAAGGCAGAAATAATAAGCCATCTAGGCAAAGGGAATCGCCCCCCAAAACAGACATTCAGATCTACTTCAATCATGAAAAAGAATATACTGATCAAAGTTCTCTTCCATTCTACATTGCCTGGTGTGGTTAACTTTTTCAACCTTTATCATTCACCACCCAGGTTGACCTCAGTAAAACAGAGAACATAGATTCATTGAATATCTATGAAGATAGTTTGTATTAAAGATTCCTAAAAATATTTTTAAAAAGAAAACACAGAGAGTCATTTAGACAGAGAATGGGAAAGCATGATCGAGGAAAAGAGATGATACTATTTTGTTGTCAGGTAAAAAGTGCAAGAAGATGAAATGATGAATTGCTAATAACTTCTATAGTTAATTAGACATCTGGAAATATACCGGTAACTTTTCTTGCATTTTTGTTTGTTATATGCTTAAAATATTAAAACACCTCTTCCATTTCTCAGATATGGATGCCTGTGTCAAATGTCCAGAAGAACAATATCCCAACAAGAACCAAACTAAATGCATTCCAAAATTGGTAACATATCTCTCTTATAAAGAAGATTTGGGGATCATCTTAGCTACCTTGGCTATTTCTTTCTCTTTGACCACATGTTCAGTACTTGGAATTTTCATGAAGTACAAGGAAACTCCCATAGTGAAAGCCAACAACCGGACCCTCACCTACATCCTCCTCGTCTCCCTCCTCCTTTGCTTCCTCTGCTCTTTGCTCTTCATTGGACAACCTGGAAAGGCAACCTGCCTTCTACGTCAAACCACTTTTGGCATTGTCTTCTCTGTGGCCCTTTCTTCTGTGTTGGCAAAGACCATCACTGTGGTTGTTGCATTTATGGGAACAAAACCAGGATCCAGGATAAGGAAATGGGTGGGGAAAAGACTGGCTAATTCTATTGTTCTCTCCTGCTCTTTTATTCAGGCTGCCATTTGTACTCTTTGGTTAAGTTCTGCTCCTCCATTCCCAGGTAGAGATGTACATTCAGTGAAGGGTGAAATCATACTGGAATGTAAGGAGGGTTCTGTTTCCATGCTTTATTGTGTCTTGAGCTATATGGGTTCCCTGGCCATAATCAGCTTCATGGTGGCTTTTCTTGCCAGGAAGTTACCTGACAGCTTCAATGAGGCCAAATTCATCACTTTCAGCATGTTGGTGTTTTGCAGTGTGTGGTTATCCTTTATTCCAACCTACCTGAGCACCAAAGGAAAATATATGGTGGCTGTGGAGATCTTCTCCATCTTATCATCAAGTGCTGGGTTACTGGGTTGCATCTTTTCCCCAAAATGTTACATCATTGTGCTGAGGCCTGAGCTGAACAACAGGGAACAACTCACAAGGAAAATGAAATGAAATATATATGTGCATCTCCTTTTATATTTATATATATTGAAGGAGGAGGGTAGGAGAAGGTTTTCTGATATTTCCATGAGATTACTAGCAACGGTGCAAACATCTCTGCAAATCTCATTGAGGTTTCCTGTGCTGTACCTGGCCTAGAGTTAAGGGATCATTTCGAGATGGTGCAGCCTAATGTGGAAATGATACATGTAGTGATGCATCTGAACACATGCCTTCTGGACATTTTACCTTCCTGACTAGCTAAACCAATTGGAATGGGGTAGTTAGGTGTAACCCATTCCTAAAAAGATCATCCTTGACCAAATGGTGTTTAACATCTACTGGCCAGTTTCCGAAATACCTTTTTTGCGCTGGGGGGGGATGAGGTGATTGAGAGGGAGAGAAACTTCACTTGTTCCTGAATTACATTGATTATTTGAATCCACTTCCATCTGGATTTAGGCTTTGTTTGGGGAACGAATCAGAATTTATTGACGAGGTGGGTCACTTTTATCAATAGAAGGATGCTAGGAGTGTCAACATGTTACTCTTCCTTAATCTCTCAGCAGCTTTTCAGCTATTGGTATCCTCCTAGATCAGGCTTCCTCAACCTCGGCCCTTCAGATGTTTTTGGCCTACAACATCCCTAGCTAGCAGGACCAGTGGATCTGGTAATTGTAGTCTCAAAACATCTGGAGGTCCGAGGAAGCCTGTCCTAGATTTAACTCGATGTGGTGCCTACCAGAGATGCTAGACTACAGTAGCTGTGCTCCTTTATGGCTGACTTCACAGAATAATACTAGGAAAGTGTTCTCCAACCCCCTGGCTCTTTGGGGACCCCCCCCCCCGTGTTATTTAACATTTGCCTGGAGCCATTGGGAGGAATCTTTAAAATTTTTGGAGCATGGTGCTTTCTATTTTTGAAAGATATGCTGGTTGCCCATTCAGGACAGGTTGCACTCCCTCTAAATGTGTAAGTCGGTACCTCTTTGATACATTTTTTGTCATTAGAGTCTTCTTTGGCTAGGAGTACCTGCATTGCCGTTCCTGCTCCTGCCATCCTAGCAGTTCAAAAGCATGTCAAAGTGCAAGTAGATAAATAGGTACCGCTCCAGCAGGAAGGTAAACGGTTTTTCTGTGCACTACTCTGGTTCGCCAGAAGCGGCTTAGTCATGCTGGCCACATGACCCGGAAGCTGTATGCTGGCTCCCTCTGCCAATAAAGCGAGATGAGCGCCGCAACCCCAGAGTCGGCCACGACTGGACCTAATGGTCAGGGGTCCCTTTACCTTTACCTGCATTGCCTAATAACCTACAAGTTACAAAATAGCTGATGTGTGTGAAATTAAAAAGAAATGGCTGCCATAGTGTGAGATTTTTTTTAATGGCTAATGTAAGCGTATAACATCATCATCAATCATCATCATCATCATCATCATCATCATCATCAATTGCTTCCTCTGAAAGAACAAGAAAGAAGAAGAAAGATGACCAGAAAATAGTGCACATATACCCCTCCTCTCAATCAATGTGGGTGGGAACCATTTCAATACCTAAGAAGAATAGCACCCTGTGTCTCTCCTCTGCTCAGAACAGATCGGATGGTGGGTGTCCAGCCCTGGCATCCAATGGACTGTGAATATATTGAAAGGTGCCTAGTCAGTGAAAAAGAGGTCATACCTGTATAATCAGGGACTGAGCAGTAGATTTCTTTTAAGATAATATTTGCATTGTGGATTATCTTAGGAGATATTTATTACAACTTTTCATGAGCTCACAGGTACCACTTTGGCAACCCCTGATTTAAGGACAGACCTTCAAGTTATGCCAAATACCAGTATGTGTGAGCTGTATATGTGAACTTAACTCTGGTCCAAGAGAAATGTTATTGCCACCCTCCTGGCTTTGCATGAGGTTCTCCATCCAAGTTGGTTAAAGACCCCCCCCCCCCTTGATCAGATCAAGCCACCTGGAATTATCCAAGGCTGTCTGCAGATGAAACAACAGGTTGGAAGAATAGAGCAGGCAGCCCAAACCCCAAAAGGATTGAATCCTTCGCTCACCAGCTGGTGGAAAGAAAAATCAATCCTGTGAGCTGTCGTGTGCTCCTTTGCAAATGACTTCTGCTCAGGGAGGATGCTTACAGAATCCCCCTGTCCTCAGTGTGGTAAGATATGAAAGGACGAAATGCAATGTTGTCTTCCCCCCATTTGCAAATGACTTCTGCTCAGTGAGGATGCTTACAGAATCCCCCTGTCCTCAGTGTGGTAAGATATGAAAGGATGAAATGCAATGTTGTCTTCCCCCCATTTGCAAATGACTTCTGCTCAGTGAGGATGCTTACAGAATCCCCCTGTCCTCAGTGTGGTAAGATATGAAAGGATGAAATGCAATGTTGTCTTCCCCCCATTTGCAAATGACTTCTGCTCAGGGAGGATGCTTACAGAATCCCCCTGTTCTCAGTGTGGTAAGATATGAAAGGACGAAATGCAATGTTGCCTTCCCCCCTGCCCCACCAGCTTTGTTTTTATGTGGTCTTTAAAAAATCGATTTAACTATTAGTCCCACCCCCAGACTAAGTCAAGCTTGGATTTGGGTTGTGTCCCCACCAAGTAGGACCAGGTTATGTCTGGACTGATCCACAGTCCTAGATCGGGTAGTGGAGCTGTACACAGTGCTGGAGGGGAAATCCTAATAATTTTTTGTCAAGCATGATTCAACTTTGAAGGACATCACCCCTCTGGGGAAATTCTAATCACAGCTATCTTCCTCAGAATCACTAGTCTCAATCCTTTTACACAACAGACAGAGAGAAGTAATTAGCAATCTGAACATCCAGCATCTGAAAAAAGAAGATATAAAACCTTATGTTTTTGAGAAGTGGATCCAGGCATAGGCAGGACTGTGTCATTCTCTGTATGATCCGTTCCCCTTTTTATATTCAGTTATGTTTTCCATCAGCTGATTCTGCCATGATTTTTAACCCCAAATAATTCCCAGGGAGTTTCCCTAGTCACTATCCTTCCTCCTTGCCCAGTTAATATCCCACTTTACAGTGGAAAATTGGACCTTTTGCATCATAAAGCTGTCTCATAATAATGAATCTTAATTTTATATATATATACAGTCATTATGATTTTTCGGGGATGCTCTTTTATTTTTGCTTGCACAACAATTTCTCTATCTGAAACAGGCATTCATGAAGGTTTTAATTCAATCAGCCTTATAGCGAAAAGTGAGAAGAATATACTGCTCAGAGATACTAATGAATAAAGAGCAATAATTAAATATAAGACCAAGATACAGTGCACAGACTTCCTAAGATGCTAAGCTGTAAATCAGTGCAGTATGACTATCTACCACCATTCGAGGGAAGCTGTTAACAAAACTGAAAATAGTCACATATGAAACATGGTAACCTATGTTGGTTGGCAAAGTTTTCTCAATAGCATCATGCTAGTGGTCATGTTGCTGCTTGCACTGTTGTGTCAAACTGCATCCAAGACACATTCTATTAACTGCAGCATATATGATGATCCTCTCCCTATTCCTCATAACTTTTATAAGACAGGTGAAATAATCATTGGGGAGATTGTTTCTCAGGTGTTCCTAAACTACGATAACCTCTCTTTCACAGAACAGCCTATGCAGACATTGATTGACGAACCTATGTAAGTCATAATTTCTTTACTCTCTCTCAATCTATGTTCAGGCCACATTAACTGAGAACATATGAATAATGCAAGGCTGTGCTGTAAGAATTTGTTTGCTATATACCATGAGAAAAGTGGAACCTGCAAACTTCCAACTGTTAATCATTGGGGGTGGGGTGCCATACCTTTCCCCCCAGTTTATTTCTATTTGGCTACTGATGAATAACTACATTTATATGCATCTTAATAACAGAAAGATCTCTAGGATTTACTTGTTTGCTGTTTGTTGGTGCCCTTGACAAATATGAAAGCCCACAAAACTATGAGAAATGCAATATACAGAAGCAGAGGATTTAGCTACTTTTCCTTTCCTCTCAGTTTGTTCCTATCCTTTGCTTGAATCTCTTTCTTCTCACATACAGTTCTGGACTTCTGGTCTTTTTGTTCTCTATTATGAGAAATGCAATATACAAAAGCGGAGGGGTTTGCTACTTTTGTTTTCCTCTCAATTTGTTCTCATCCTTTGCCTCAATCTCTTCCCACTCTCATACAGTTCCAGACCACTGGTCTTTTTGTTCCCTATTATTAAATTTGAGAAATACCACTATGTTTTATCCTTCCTCTTATTTTCAGCCTTGTCGTTTGCCCAGTCAGACTCCAGTTTATTGCAAACTAGAAAAAGGGGTCCACAATCATATCTGATTGTTCAATGACAGGAAGTGTATGCCACATGTATTGGCAAAGTCTTGCCCCAATTGTTGTTCATACTTCTACAATGAAAATTGCACAAGTAATTTGCCCAGGCAGGCACATTATGTGACCCATAAGAGCAGCAAAATAACAAGACTGTACAATGGTGATGGGATAAAATCAGGCCAAATCTTTATTGACAGCAGCAGGCAGGGCAAGGGTTGGCATGGCATTGGGCCGCAGGATCAGTTCACTATTCCACAAGCCCCATGTTGATGGAATTTGGATTGTTCCAAACCTGTACGATGGGAGTTGGGCAGTGTTGAATCTTGCCATGGTGCAAGCCAAGCAAGCAAGGTCTCACTGGGGGACCAGGGTGCAGATTCCAACCAGGCAGATACTGAACCCACGCTTGAGTTTGCCATGGTCAATCCTCTCCTCAGGCCCCTTATGGGGACGCACTGTACTATGCTGATCCTGCCCAATGCCATTTCTGTCCTCATACAAACATTTTCTTCCACCTAACAAAGAAAAGCCATAATTTAACTGAGGGAAAGGTGGAGGGGGGAACCAACCAAGTGCCCCAAAAGAAAAAAAATGCTTTCCAGCCCTGTCAACCAACGACCCAAAATTGCTCAGTGAAGACTCTATGCAGAGGGAGAATGGACAC